CTCTTTTTTGAGAGGCAGCTTTTCTTGGCTATTGTGAATGTGTCCAAAGGCAGCAAAGAGCTTGGAAGGCCACTCTGCATTTCTTTTTCCTTTTGCAGGTCAACTTTAACTTCTCCCTGTGCTCTCCACCAGTAAGGGGACATTATTCGTAGTTGCACAAGGAACCTAAAATTCAGCAGATGGAAACTCTTGGAATGGAGAGAAAAGGGGGCCTTTGGTCTGTTTTGTTTCAAAGCTTGGTAGCTGTAAACTTTGCCTCTTGCACACTGCTGTGAGGCTATGTGGAGAGCCTGGCTGTGAAGCAGGACTTCAAAACCAGAGGAGGTTGCTGCCTGGGTCCCCATGCTGCTCAGTTTAATGAGCCATGCTGGCTTTTGGCGAGTTTCTGACTGGCTGCCACTCCAGGCCACTGTCTCTCATTAGGTAGGATGTTTTTAGGCACTGGATTGAACTTACTGGTGGTGGTCTGCTTTTTACACACTCCAATTTACAGAGCTAGTGCCAAGCTACTAAATTATTAAGCTAGGGTTTTAATAGAAACCCCTGTGTAGGCTTAAATTGTTTCCACTCTATTTGGAGTTTCCTGCTCTGCTGGTTTTTATTTTGTCCCGTGCATGAAAGCGTGGAGGAATGAATGCACAGGAAAGCACAGAGGCAAAGAGGAAGAATTCAGCCTGAGAGCTGTAGAAAGTACAGACAAAATAAAAGGTCAATTGGTACTTTATCCAGCTCTAATGGAGGTGATGGGGGAAAAAATGTGCCCTAATCCTCTTGACAGTTCAGTGGAAACTTGTGTTCTGTTTTCAATGCTGTTGGTAACTTAGGTTTCTCAATAAAATAATTTCTTGCCTGACTTGACCTCTTCCCCAGGGCTTGAAAGGGACATTTGTCAGCAAATACAGCTACACCAGTCCTTCCCCCAGGGTCAAGCCCTGCTGCATCCAGTAGGACAGCAGTGCTCTGTCTGGTGGACTTCCCTTCTTGGGGGGATGCACCTTCCAGCTTTGCACCATTTTCATCCACTCCTCCCCTTGCTGCAGGCTCTCTCTGCTACAGCCACGCACCACTGGATACTGGGTCAGGATTGTTCTCCCCTTGCTGCAGGCTCTCTGCTACAGCCATGCACCACTGGATACTGGGTCAGGATTGTGCTTGCCAATTAAGTACTACATAAGTCAGATCAGGTCAGCACAGCTTGGTTTCTCACACTGCACTGATGCACTTGTGTTGTCCCCAGTGGCAGGTTCAGTCACTGTTCTCCACCAAATGGGTTGACTGTCACACAGTTAAAGGGAGGGATGTTTTTTGAACCTGTTCTTCCTGGTAGGCCAGGAGTTCTCAGCACCAATTCCCTGAGGCTACTTCTTTATAAGCAGTAACCTCCTTCCTCTGGGAGTAATTAGATGGGAGAGGCTTGGATAAGCAGCAGTAAGAGGTGACAGTGGGCTAAAACTGGTCAGTATGTGTCATAGAATCATAGAATCAATCGTGTTGGAAGAGACATCAAAGATCATCAAGTCCAACCCTACTGTGGTTACTAGACCATGGCACTAAGTGCCACATCCAGTCTCAGCTTGAAAACCTCCAGGGATGGTGAATCCACCACCTCCCTGGGCAGCACATTCCAATGCCTGATCACTCTCTCCGTAAAAAATCTCTTCCTAATATCCAACCTAAACCTCCCCTGGCAGAGCTTGAGTCTGTGCCCTCTTGTCCTGCTGCTGGTTGCCTGGGAGAAGAGACCAATTCCCCCCTGAGTCCAACCTCCTTTCAGGCAGTTGTAGAGGGTGATAAGGTCTCCCCTGAGCCTCCTCTTCTCCAGGCTGAACACCCCCAGCTCCCTCAGCCTCTCCTCATGGCACTTGTGCTCCAGTCCCTTCACCAGCCTCGTTGCTCTTCTCTGTCCACTCCTGCCCTTCACTCAGCAGCTGCTGTGGGCATGCACTGAGTCCCAAGCAAGGGGATTGCTTTCCAGGGACAGAGCATGTTTGCAGGACACATGTCTACTGCTCAGACATACCAGTTTGAAGAGCCAGTGCATTGGAATAACTGGGATTGTTGAGTGCATCTACAGAGAGCTGAAGCAGTCAAACTTCAAGTGTGCACTTGAGGGCTTGGGGTGAACCTGTTACCAAGCTCTGGATATGTGGTACATCTTACATGTAAAACCATCTCCCTCAGCTTGTGTGTACAGTACTAGTGGCTACTGGCTGAATCCTGCCTGGGGTTTGCAGGTCTGGCTGAAGAGAAAATTAGGCTGTGAATTGAAAAGGCTACCTTCATCTCTCAATGGCAGGAACAGCACTGCAGTTCCTGTCATTGTCATCATGCTTGAGCCATGTTTGGGTACTTACTGTGTTTAATTACATGGCTGATTTTCTTAATGTCTCTCCTGGGGTCACTCATAACACTCTTATTTTTGGGTTTTGGGAAAATTAGGGACACTAGCAATCCATTGTGGTTCTCAAGGCAGGAATTTTCCAGATGACAATGGTAATAACAGCTGTGGTGTAGTTGCAGAGTAACCTGTCTAAACAGAGGAAAGTGAGCACTGGCAAGTATAGTAGAGCTTAACTCTTGCAAATGAATAATCTCCAATGAAAACATACTACAGGTGTAGGCAGAGGACACAAGTTCCCTGGGTTTGGATAACTTGGAGGATATGTGTATGGTTTATTGGGAAATCCCTGGTAGTGCCTGTTGGCTTTCAATCCTGTAAACAAAGAACTTTCTGATCAAATATTTAGACATTTGGGTGCAGAACTGGGGTCGTCATATGTCCTCCCTGGCATACAGCTATGAATCATCCCATTTCATGGCAAGGTCGTCATATGTCCTCCCTGGCACGCAGCTATGAATCATCCCATTTCATGGCAAACTGGTTATCTACCTTCCAAGGAGCTCCTTTGTACCTGTCTCACATCTGAGGTAGTTCTCAGTTTTAGGAAGGACAGTGTGCTGAGAGGTCTGCAGCAACAGTTGGCCTAATGCGCCTTGCTCTGCTTGTTGTTTTTAAACAGATGGACCTCTCTGTGGAAACTCTTTATAGCTTCATGCAGGAGCGCCAGAAGAAGTATGCCAAGTATGCAGAGCAGATCCAGAAGGTCAATGAGATGTCTGCCATCCTGCGCCGTATCCAGATGGGCATCGACCAGACGGTCCCGCTGATGGAGAGGCTGAACAGCATGCTGCCCGAGAACGAGAGGCTGGAGCCCTTCAGCATGAAACCTGACCGCGAGCTGAAGTCTTAGCTGGGCCAGCAGGCTCCCCCTCCTCACCTTCCACGCTCCAGAGTTCAGCACAGACGCACTCCCAGCGCGCGGGATTGGCAGATGCTCGAGCGGGCAGCAGTGCTGCCTGACTCCCTGCCAGGGGATCGGGGGAAGAGCAACGTCAGCTGCCAGAACTGCACAGCCAGGAATCCAGGAGCTCCCCAGTCCTGTCGTCTGGAGAAGATGATTTACCATTCTTTCATCTCCCTCCTTTTGCCCTCCTGTCTCCTTTACCACTACCACCACCTGTGCAGAGACATTTGTTTCATTGCTGTGACTAGTTGGGGTTTACAGAGGAGGAATTTCCTTTCATCTGATTTCTTTTTTTTGCTAAAATAATTCAAAGGGATATGGGGTGTGACAAACCCCAGTGGGTTTTGTGCCACTGGGGTTTAGACAATTACTTGGCTAGCAGGTATTTCTGAGATCCCCTGGCCTTGGAAATATGTGTGTTTCATAGATGAAAGTGTGGGAGCCAGGAACTGGCTTATTAAAATCTGCCTATTATCATAATTAACATGGTTTTCATGGCAGGGTTCTGGCATGTCCTTGAGGCTCATGTTTCTATGGTCTCACTAATTTACGAGGCTGTGAAGGAGTAACTCTTCTAGATATGTATGTCTGCTGATGTTAAATAAGCCTTAGTGTTCCTCT